TTCCTAAAACTCCATCCACGCTATTGCCTTGGAGAAAGCATCTCACCTATACCTAAAAATGGTATTCCCATATAGGGTGAGCCAACAGCCCAGTAGAAATAATCTAACACAATTTATGAGGTTTAGCAAAGGTATAAATACCACGTACATAAACAATATCGATCCTGAAACATTCACAAGACCTACATATCCATATGCCACTAAGACCAACCTTATTCCAGTTTCCTTTAATTTTATTTCCAGTTCATATATGCTACTCAATTCATGAGTTAAATTCGTTATCTTTCAACAATCAAAATGAGACTACAACTCAATGATTTTCCAATTATGCAAAACTCACACAAACACTTCAAACCTGCTATTTTACGGATATTTCGTCTGAAGGAATCGACACCCATTTATATATAAAATTTTGGGTCTTTCACCCAGGACACTCCGGCCAACTTGCTTTAAATGGAGTCCATCCCCTTTCTCCTCCCAAACAAATATACATATGCAATGTATTTATAAACATAATCACATATGGAGTACATCCCCTTTCTCCTCCCAATAAACATACGTAGACAATATATCTATAACATGGTCATATTCAATGACACCAACAATGGATTAGCATTAAATCGCCTAATCCTCATGTAATTTCTACAACAATCATAACTATTCTCCACCGATAGCCCAATGCATTTATCTCTAAACATATATTCAATTTCAAGATAAATAATTTATTCAAAACTTCCATATGTGAGATATTACATATCCAATATCTCCATTTATAACCACAACCTTCCAATTTAACATATTCAATATTGATTCCAATTATTTATACAAAATAATCATTTAATCAAAATTGGGGCAAAAACCCCCCTTTTTCCAATATTGACCCAAATACTCAAAATCAACTATTTTGGTACACCAAGATCTTATATTCAAACCTCATACTCATTTATTTCTTATACACCAAAAACCCCTCTTTTCATTTCACACCCAAATCTTAGATTTGTCCAAACCACAACCAAATCTCATCATCTATATACAATAGCAAATAATTAAGCTAAAAACCATATTAGAGTGTAGAAAATTCCTACCTCAAGCCAAGAAGCTTTCAAAACGACGCCTTTTCCGCTCTCAATACTTTAACTGGATTGATCACTACTAAATCCGATAATACCATTATCGTTAAAAACACGTATTGAACATTTGGAATACTCACATGAATTACTAAAACAGGACAACCCACCAATGGTATTTAACTGCTACCCATAATTTGAGAATTTAGCTCTTCAAGCAGAATTAAAGAATCCTCTCATAGTTGTTCAGCTACCAATCTCAACCAACTGATGTTTCCCATATTTGTGTTGTGCTCCTGCCTGTAAGTCGGTTTCAAAATTTCCAGGATCTATATATGCAATAGAAACAAGAAACCCAAGGCCAATGTATGCAAACAAGTTTTTCCAGATTTTCTTATCAGGTACAACAATTTGATCGGGCTCCACATTCTTAATTAGAGGCTCATTCGAATGACTCCAATTTCCAGTGCTGGCGATGAATTGCGGCTGCTCAGACCCCATTACAATCAATGTAGTACTCATCGGTACTGGACCTTGAGTTGTAGTAATGGTGAGAGTGATTGAAGAAAATGAACGTTAACAGAGTGTTTCCTCCACTCCCTCTTCCTCAAATTGTAGAGAAATCAGAAGCCGAGTAACCGACACATCTTCCTCCGCCGATCTCAGTAACATCTTCTCTACTGCCATTGTCCCTCATGGGTTTGACAGAGGAAGGATCTGTGACTCAAGTTTCATGTCCAAACACAAAAGCAGCTGGTCAATTAAGGGTATCCCAGACACTAATTCTAGGAACCGTTGGATGGCCTCAACAACAGTATATTCATCACACTCAAGTTCAAACGAGTGTCCTGTGACTCATGAATGATGAGAAAAATGGTTGTAACTAAGAAGAGAGAGAAGGAGATATATTATATTCAAACCTCTCCTCTTACTCATCATACACCACGAGAGAGAGAGAGAGAGATAAGTATTATTTTTAATAGCCCCACCCCATGTATGTCTTCTTTCGCTTTAACAAATGTTGTCCATTCACACACATCATCATAATCTATATTTCATCTTTTGTTTATTTTATTTCCACCACCGAAACATCATCATGCATATATTCCCTTCTTTTATTAATTTATTTTTTTGAATCATTACAGATATTAACGAAACTCTTATTACTTTGATTCCCAAAATTGACAACCCTGAGAGAAATGTGTCTTACAAAATTATTTCCAAAATCATTGTGAGTAGGATTAGACCCTTTTTGAATAACATTGTTAGACCTAACCAATGTAGCTTTATCCCTGGCAGAAGTACTAGTGATAACATAATAATTTCTCAAGAGATCATCCACACTTTGAATCACAAAAAGAGTAAAAAGGGGGGTATGATTTTTAAAATCGATTTGGAAAAAGCTTATGATAACATCTCTTGGGATTTCCTCAAACAAACCCTTTTTGAATTTGATTTTGATGTTAACCTTATTGATCTCATCATGAGTTGTGTTACTAGTGTTAGCACTGCTATTATTTGCGATGGTGAACCTCTTCAAGAATTTAAACCTCAAAGAGGTCTGCAATAAGGAGATCCTCTCTTTCCTTACCTTTTTGTGTTGTGTATGGAGATGCTATTCTATATGATTAGCCTCCAAACTGAGAACAAGCTTTGGAAAGAGATTGAGGTCATTAGAGGCGGTCCTTCAATCACTCACCTTTTCTTTGCTGATGACCTCATGCTTTTTGGGCAGGCCACTACGTCAAATTGCAACACTATAATGTAGATTATGGATGAGTTTTGTGAAATCTCTGGATTGAAAATTAATTCCCATAAGTCAAAGCTGTATGTTTCACCTAACATTGAGAGCAGGACAACCAGAGGTTGGAGTAATAAATGTGGCATTCCTTTCACTACTGAATTAGGGAAATACTTGGGTGTTCCCCTAATTCATGAGAGGGTTACCATGAGACACTTTAATGATCTCCTTGGCAAAATGCAAAGAAGATTGGCTGGGTGGAAGGCTAATGTGTTATCTTTGACTGGCAGAGCCACACTGATTCAGTCAGTGACTTCTACTATTCCTTCTTACACTATGCAAACAATGTTTGTTCCTAAAAAGGTGAGCAATGAAATTGATAAGTTGAACAGGAATTTCCTTTGGGGTGATACCCTAGAAAGGAAAAAAATTCACCTTGGTAATTGGGATGTGGTGTGCAGAATGAAAAAGAATGGGGGTCTTGGTATAAAAAAAAGCTAGAGACCAAAATCTAGCCCTACTTTCAAAGTTGGGATGAAATATGGTTAGCAGACAGGAAGGCTTGCGGTGTGAGGTTTTTAGAAAAAAATATCTTAAAAATACTTCTTTGCAGGATTGGCCTAAAGGGAGGCAAGCATCTCATCTTTGGAAAGGCATCATGTGTACTAAAAACACTCTCAGAAAAGGTATTAAATGATCTGTGGGTGATGGCCAGACTGTTGATGTGTGGAAAGATTGGTGGCATGGTGATAGATCCTTTGAAGAATCTGTTTCCAGCCCTAACCTTGCCAGTTTCACTGATGATCCCAGGTGTGTTAAGATTAGAAAACTAATGGGAGATGATGGAACTTGGGATGATCAGTATGTTGACAGTATACTACCATCTCCCACTGTTTCTCTAATTCTGAACACTGTCTCTCCTGATAGCTCCAGTTTGGATTCTCCTATGTGGAAAGGGGCCCCTGATGAGGTGTTTACAGTTTCCTCTGCCTATGATCTTATTCAAGGGCATCCTCACATGGATAAAGATTGGACATGGGTGTGGAAGCTTAGGCTCCCACAAAAACTTAAAGCTTTCTTATAGACTATACTCCATGGAAAGTTGCTTACTAACCATATGAGAATGAAGAGAGGCCTTACCAATGATCCTATTTGCCTCTACTGCAGTGGGTCTGAGGACATTAGCCACTTGTTCAAGAACTGCTATAAAGCTAAGGAAGTGTGGTTTACTACTTTTGGCAGGAAGTGGTATTTGAGTATAGTTGGGAAACCTTGGAGGGATTGGCTCATGTGTAATGCTAAAAACAAAACTCATTTCCGTACAGACATCTCTTGGTACACTGTTTTTATTGTGGCTTTATGGAAAATTTGAAACAATTGAAATTCTTTTGTGTTTGATGGTAAATCTACTTCTAACCAAAAGAGTGTCAAGTTTATTTTAGATTACTCTACAGAGATCCACCAAGCTTTCCCTAACTCAATCCTTAATCCTAGACCCTTTTACAGACTTATTCATTGGTGTTTACCTCATGCAAGTTGGATCAAATTAAATACAGATGGCTGTAGGAAAGTTGGAGGAGAAAGAGGCTTTGGAGGTCTACTTATGGCGGACTGGAAATGGGAACCAGCCTTGAAGCGGAATTGTGGTAGTGTATAAAGGCCTTACTGTTATTTTACAAAAAGGATTATCCAATGTTTTGATAGAAACAGACGCAACACAAGTTGTGAAGCTGCTGGAGGAAGAAACTGTGGCCAATTGCCCCTTCAGAAATTTAGTGGATGATGCAAAAATTTTGATAAGAGGCTGCGAATGCACAATCCAACACATTTGGCAAGAAGGTAATCTTTGTGCGGATGCACTAGCCAAATTCGGAACAGAACAACCTGAAGATACGCTAGTGGTGAATGAACCACCAGCTGCAATTAGAAGTTTGCTAGTAAGGGACATGATTGGTTTAACCTCTGAACGAACTTAGCCCTTTGTTTGTGTTTTTCCCTTCCGATGTAACCAAAAAAAAAAATACTTATGCTTGCTTATCTGTAAGAAATGATCAAACAGTTCAAACTTTTAATTCGTTAAAATTTCATTTTAATTTAGTGCTTGTTTGGCATGTGCTAGCATATTATCTTATTTGGATCATAATTATCTTATTTGGGTCACTTGGGTCTGCGGCTATTATGGCATACTGCAAATGGGAACCAGCCTTGAAACGGAATTGTGGGTAGTGTATAAAGGCCTCACTGTTATTTTACAAAAAGGATTATCCATCGTTCTGATAGAAACAGACGCAACACAAGTCGTGAAGCTACTGAAGGAAGAAATTGTGGCCAATTGCCCCTTCAAAAATTTAGTGGATGATGCAAAAATTCTGATAAGAGGCTGCGAATGCACAATCCAACACATTTGGAAAGAAGGTAATCTTTGTGCGGATGCACTAGCCAAATTCGGAGCAGAACAACTTGAAGATATACTGGTGGTGAATGAACCACCAGCTGCAATTAGAAGTTTGCTAATGAGGGACATGATTGGTTTATCCTCTGAACAAACTTAGCCCTTTGTTTGTGTTTTTCCCTTCCGATGTAACCAAAAAAAAAATACTTATGCTTGCTTATCTGTAAGAAATGATCAAACAGTTCAAACTTTTAATTCATTAAAATTTCGTTTTAATTTAGTGCTTGTTTGGCATGTGCTAGCATATTATCTTATTTGGATCATAATTATCTTATTTGCGTCACATTATCTTTCTACCACATCACTTCAAACCCAATCCATATTTCACATTTTTTTGTAAAAAGTCAAAAAGTATATTAATCTAGCACTTCCCAAACAACCCTTTAGTTCGTTTGATAAATAAATTAATTTTAAATATATTTTAAAATTTATTAATTTTTTTAAAATTAAACTTGAATAATTAATTGCTCATTCAACTCGATTTGATAAGTCTAAAAGCTATATAAGACTATTTTGGAAAGGTGGTTAAAAACTTCTTCCAACTTTTAACTCATTTTGAGTTATATCGTCTCTCACATTTTTTACACGTTTTTTTAAAAAAAATTAAAAAAGTCAAAAAGTCAATTTTTAACGATCTTCCCAAAACAACGGATAATAATACCAAACTATTCGAACTCGACTTGACAAAAACTCGTTTGTGATTGGTTTAAAAGTTTAATTAATCAAATTTAAACAAATTTTAAAATTTATTAAAATTTTTAAACCAAACTTTAACAATTAATTGTTCAGTTCGTTATGCTTGTTTATCACCTCTATCTATGCTATTATATAGAACAAAAAATTATCACTGTTTTTTTCTTTTAATTCTTGAATTATCTTTACCTTTATTTTATTTTATTTTCATTTATCAAATTGAGGTACACTTACAAATTTCAAGCACACCTGTATAAGTCCCTATTTCTCTAATAAAGAAAATGTTGTCATATGGTGGACCTCAGAGCGTTTTCAACGCTTCGTCAAATTTGTTATCAAATTTAAATTTGATAAAAAAAAAATTGCCTAAAACGTGAACTCTAACCCTTTCATCAAACTGATATCAAATAGAATGAGAGTTATTTTTTTTTCATCAAATCAAGGGAGTTTTATCCTTTGATCAAATTTGTAAGTGACCGTTGGACCGAACGTCCTCCCAAACAACCTCTTCCTTGCAAAATTGCCCATAAAAGTGTTGTCAATTTACACAAACCGATCGATCAACCAAAAATTCGCTTGGTCGTCCTCCCGGTCGACCAATGCTTTGATGAAAAATATAAATTATCCTTTGAAACAATCGATATCAAATAAAGTTTTTACTCAAATTTAATAGGGGAAAAAAAAAAGAATAAATGTTAGAGATGCTCTTATATATCCAATTAAGAAGAAAATGTTGTCATATGGTGGACCTTCCAATTAAGTGTGATATTCTTATACATAGAATTTACATTTAACTATTGATTGATTTAATTATCCTAAAATTATTCTATGATCATTTTTTAAAACATAAATTACACTGACCTCTTTGAAACTTCAAAGAAATTCAACAAGTTTCATAATTTTGTTATAATTATACTAACCTTCATTTTAGTAAGACTAAAAGAACTATAATTAGTGTAGAAGGTGTGAAAACACAATAGTAGACAAGAAAAAGTAATATATTTTAATGTAAAAAAGATAACAACTTATTGATAACTAACAATTTATTAACGAAAGTAGGTCTAAGTATTGTGTGAATTAAAATATTAAAAAATCAATATAATTATTTTAAAACTGTAGGACTTATTATATCTTTTTAATTTCAGGAGAAGTCAATGTAATTTGCCCTTTTTAAAATAATCACAAGATTATTTAGTATTTAGCCCTCACTAATTCAACGAATATATTTGATCCCATGTTCATATGTATTATGTAATTAGAAAATGCTAATTACTATCCATTGGTGATAATTAATATTGATAATGCGTGTAACAAATATATTAAAATAAAAAAATATACATATAATATATATATATAAGTGTCCGAGAATATTTAAAAGGGCATTTTTTCGATGGATAGGTCACGCGCTAAATTACTATGTTCTTGCCAAACGGTCATGAGGCGTCGGTATGTTTATCGATGACAGCGGATGAAGAAATAACATCATCGTCTTCGAAGGTACATCCAACTATGATGAATCGTAGCTCATTTGAGTGGGCCTTCTAGAGATTCCTCCAAGAGACCCATCTCTTAACACTAAAACCCATCTATCTATTTTTTTTTTTTTTTTGAAAGACTGAAGTTTTATAATTAGAGCAAGGCTAAAGCCTTACATAAACCAACAGGGGGATTACAAACCCAATTGGGAGATAGAGCTCCATTAAGAAAGGCCATTGTTGCCCAATAAGCAACACTATTAGCCTCACGAGGAGTTCATAAAAAGAAAAAATTACATTGGATTGCTAAGCTTCGGATATCATCAATGATAGGAGCACATTCCCACGGAGGAATAGCCTCGGAGACACACAGAGATATCACAGTTTTGTTATCTCCAGCAATTTCCACCTGAGAAAGATTGAGGGATCGAGCCATGAGACATGCCCATTGGACTGCCAGAGCTTTACCCTGCATGATTGAACCCACTTCCTCAAAATGGACAGCTCCTTCCACAAGCAAGTCTCTGCTATCCCGAATAACCACAGCTATTGATGCAGTGGAAGACCCAGGTCTCAGAGCTACATCATAGTTAGCTTTCAATCTGTTATGCCGAGGGAGAGTCCACTCCCTAGCCATAGATCTCAGAGAACTCCACGAATTAGGAATAGGCTGATTAGATTGCAGCACTGTTGGATACTCACTAAAATTCTTTTCAGCTTTGAAAATTACCGAGTAGGGGTCAATGGGCTGATGGTTGAAAACGATGTCATTTCGACATTTCCAAATGTGCCAAGCTAACCAAAGCAGCTTACAAAAATTCTGTAACAACCCTCGTCACTGTTTACCGATTAACCACTGATTACTGCTAAACTGAGACTAATTATGATTGGTAACTGAATTAATTGAAGTACTGAACTGATTGACTGAAATCAGGGACTGAATTGACTAAGTATATCTGTTTAATTGTATGTCTATCTGTTGACTGTTTGATTATCTATTCATGCCTTTGTGTTTAAATTATGAATTGAAGGCCTTATCGGCGGCCGAATCTGAAATGGATTGATGTTTTACGATCGTTAGGATTTATGTGATTTTATGGTGTATTTATCTGAAATGTGATCTGGTACGATTAAATTAGATTAATTATTGATAAATTGTACGACTTAGACTTAATTGCAACATTGCCATCCTTAGTGGCCCACTACCTCAACATATTGAGCCTTGTACACAACTAGACAAACCTTTCCTCAGCCTCATTTGAGCACAAAACCGATCTAGAGAGTGAGGGAGTGGGAGAATTGATGTGTTCTTGAAGGATTTGCTTGGAATCTTGAGGATATTGTAGAAAACTTGCAACATTGAGCCTCCATACCTCTAATTCAAGACTTAGGTAAGGAAATTCAACCTCTCACTGTTGTGTTTAAGTTGATTCTTGCATGGTTCATGTCTAATTGAGGAGCCAAGTCATGTCTTAGTCTAATAATGTTGAATTGGAGCTCATTCCATGCATGCATGTTTGAATTGTATAGTTGTGAGTTGATTTCATGGTAAAATGTTACATGCATGTTCATAATTAAGCTTAAGTCCATGATTTCATCTTGTCCTTGGAAGAATTGGCTCATTAGAGCATGAAAGTGAAGCTTTGAAATGGTTTAAATTCATGCATGTTATGTTTGAATTATATTCTTGAAAATTGGTTTGAAATTGAGTTGTTTGAAACACCCTTGGGCTTTGATTTTACAATTGAGCTTTGGAATCATGTTAAACTATGAGTATTGGGATGTTTCTGGAAAATTGGCCCAAGAGGATCGAAATTTATGCTTTAAATATTGAATTTGAGCTTGAGGTTCAAATATGGGAATTCCAGATTTTGAACTCACGCTCGAGCGGGGTTACTGGCGCTCAAGCGTGAAATTCATGCTCCCAGTACTTTGCACTGTTTAAAGTCCGCTCGAGCGGAATAATTGACGCTGGAGCGTGACGTTGTGTCTCTTGCTCGAGCGGGTGTCGAGCGCCCAATCGAGCGTGATTTTCACCTATACAGCACTTTTGACTGTTTTGTAGAACGCTCGAGCGGGTAAGTCTACGCTCGAGCGGAAACCTTTGTCTGCATGTCCGCTCGAGCGGAGTAATCTATGCTCGAGCGTGACCCCTGTTTTCTGAAAAATTTTGAAAATGCTTTTAAAGTGCATCTTTGCATCTTCATCTCATCCTAGGCATTCTTAGGCCTAGTTTAAGACATCTTAATGAGGATATAGATGTAGAACACACCAAGGCAAATTAGGGATTAAGTTATTATCTTTCCCAACTATGTAGCTTAGTGTGTGTTCAATCTGTAACTGTGTAGGGTTGGCGACTGGGGACGCGCTCTAGCTTTACTGTAGCCCAGAACTCTGTGAGTAACAACTGTGTAAAGATATGTTCAAAATGATTATCTTCTGAACAATTGAATTGTGCTGCTTTTTGAATTGATACTGTTAATTGAATGAATGTATGTCCTATATTTTGAACTGTATCGTGGCATCCTTAGCAACTACTGTTTACTGTTACTGTTACAGAGATCTCTGTCGGTTCCCTTGTTGGAGCCACTACTGTTACTGATTGATGGCCATCATTTACTGTTCGGTCTTTTAAGACCTACTGTTTACTGTACTGTTATGCTAATGGATGTACCACATATGACTGAATGACTGATATACTGAATTAACGAACTATTTTTGTTACTGTAAGGACATTCATTCTTAACCTCTTTACACATTACGTTATTCACTGGGCTTTAGCTCACTGCTCATATATATATGTAGGTGTACAGGCACCAGACCGTGGTTAGAAGCGTTGGGGTAAGCTCTAGTTTTGTCAAGCCAACCACTGTGCCTCACTGCGAGGTTTTGAGCCCGTTAAGTTATGGCTTAGGGGTGTTTTATTTCCCTG